CAGACGACGGAAATGAGTAAAAATAGTAAATAAATAAATAAATAAAATCGTCACCGGAGGTTTAACGTAAACGCCCTCGATATTATTTTTATTATTATTATTATTATTAATTAATTACGCGTAATAAAATACGAAAAAAAATTATTTTCGTTTGTCGGGAACCGCCATTTTATTATTATTATCATCGTCATCATTATTATCATTATCACGACTGCGATTAATTTAATTTTTTTTTAAATTTATTACTCGTACGAATTTTTATCGTCGTCAGCCATTTTTTTTCGTTTTTTTCCGAAGAAAATTCCAAACAACAACAACAACAAACGACACAACCACAAACAGTTATTATCATTATCATTATTATCATTACTATTATTATTTAATAAAAAACAAAATTATTTATTTATTTATATATATCGCAATTTTATTTTATTTTTTTTCGTTTTAATAAAATTTTAATACATTTAATTTTCATATATATATATATTTATCGTTAATATTAATTTTGTTATCATTATTATCATTATCATCATTATCATTATTATTATTTTAATTAATAAATTTCGTAATAACTAACTAATATATATATATATATAGTACACAATATACAAATATATTGTTTTTTTATTGATATTTACATGTACAAAATGAAAATTTTAAAAAAAAAATTATTATTATTATTTATTATTATTATTATTATTATTATTATTAATCATCGTCTCTATCATCATTATTATTATTATCATCTTCATACATGACGTTGTTATTACTCGTAAAAAAAAAAAGAAAATTTTTTTATTTTTTATTTTTTTCAATTAATTATTAATCGGATTTCAAACGAAATCAATAAATAATAATAATAATAATGATAATATTAATAACGATAATAATAATAATAATAATTTGATAAAAAAATATTTTTTTTTTTTTTTTGCTTTTTTTTTTTTTGATTGGACGAAATAAATTTGAAATGAAAAATTTTCTCTCCAGCAATTTTCCCGTACGATTTTTTTTACGGGTATAAAACATAAAAAAAAAATTTTTACAAGTTACACAAAATGGCGACTTTTTTTTTATACAAAATTTTTTATTAAGTAACTATTATTATTATTATTATTATTTTATTCATCACCATCATCATCATCATCATCATCGTTATTATTATATTAAAAAAAAAAAAAAAAAAAAGAGATTCGGATGAGCCGTGTAATTTTTTTTTTTTATTTATTTCTTATTATTATTATTTTCTTTCATCTCATTATGATTTATATTATTATCATTATCATCATTATTATTATTATTATTATTATTATTATTATTATTATTATTATTATTATTATTATTACTCTTAAACACGACAAGACTCTTATTTCTCGGGGTTTTCCAGGTTTCTTCCCGACGATTCCTTAGGGACAAATGCTCAAATTTTGTTGGTGCTATTAATACAATATTTTCCGAAAAATTATTATTATTTTTATTATTATTATTATTATTATTATTTAATAGAAAAGGGCAAGATAATTATTAACGATTGTTTTTGTTGTTGTCAATGTCGTCGTCGTCGTCGTCGTCGTCATCGTGGTTTTATATTTACGGCAAAATCGAGTATTTGTCATCATCGTACCTGAAAATATGCATTTACGAAAGGCGTAAGGGGGGAGGGGGAAAAAAATGCGGAATTGAGTAAATCGATACGGGTACCTTTAACACGATAACGACCTTTAACGCGCCTAAAAAACCGCGTATCGAATTATTTTTTTTTTATAATCTTAAATAAGTTTAAAAATTAACAATCGTTATATATTTCGTTATTCCGCAAAACGAATTTATTAATAATAATAATAATAATATCAAAATTTTGCGAATTGTATTAACAATAATAATAATAATAATAATAATAATAATAATGATTTTATTTAAAATTTCCGCATTTGCTTATTGGTTATTATTAATTAATAAATGAATTATTGAACTATTGAATTCGTGATGTCATCGGATGAACGAGTGATGCCTATGAAAAAAATTTATTTATTTATTATTATTATTATTATTATCATCATCATCATAGTCAAAGTATCGTAAATTATTACGACAACTTATGGAACTTATTAATTTATTTATTAAAATAGTAATAATAATAATAATAATAATAATAATAATAATAATAATAATAATAATAAATAATAATAATAATAATAATAATAATAAACGGCATTGAATTTAAAACGTGTCGAAATATTATTTTTTATTTTTTATTTTTTTCGCGTCATTCGATTATGTAATTTTCTTTTTTTTTTTTTTTCGAAAAAAAATTCTAAATAATATCGCCTAGGGAATTTTCTTTTTCTTTTTTTTTTTTTTTTTTTTTTTACAATGTTGGCAACATTTTCATAAATTTTTGATTAGGTAATTATCGTACGTAATTGAAAAAAAAAAAAAAAATTTCTTTTTCTTTTTTTTTTTTTAAACTTCCTTTTTTTTCGGGAAAATGTATTTATTATTATTATTATCATTATTATTATTATTTTATTTATTTATTTAAATCGATCGATTGAGCGATAAATCGATTAATCGAAAAAGAAATCGTTCGATTTAAATAAATTTTTTTATATAAAAGAAAAAAATTTTGAAAGAAGAAAGTTTTGATAGAATGAAGAGTTAAAAAAAAAAAAAAAAAAAAAAACGGGTTTAATTTTTTACAAACTTATTATTATTATTATTTTTTGCGTATAAAATAAACGTGGCTTTATAGCGCTTTAATATATATATATATATATAGCGCGTTAATTAAAAAAAATTATAGCGTAGTTTTTTTTGTAAAAATATAATATTTCGATACTTTGATACCTGATCGATATCACGTTATTAGTTTACAAAAAAAATGACAATTTTATGCTATATTTCTTCAAAAAAAAAAAATTTTATAGCGCTATAAAGTACTATTTTTTATAGCAAACATACAGAAACGAAGAAAGAAAAAAATAAAAGTGGGGGGGGGGTAAACGAACCATTTCGCAAATGCCAATTATCGGGTATCGAATAATTTTTGTCGGCGTAATCGAAGCGGATATTATTATTATAAATTTTCCCATGACGTGCCTGGAAATTTTGAGGGGGTGTAGGAGGGTACGGGGAGTAGGGGGAGGTAGGTCATTAATACCCTGGAATTTTTTCGGTTCGAGGTAGTACCTGAAACGATTTTTTTTTTTCGGCAGGAGAAGAAAAATTTATTTTGTGTTTGTTGTGTTGTGTTGGATTTTTTTTCGCCGTACGACGATCTAATTAAATAATTAATAATTTGAATTAACCTATTAATTTATTTAGAGATCCATCGTTAATTATACAAACTTGTAATTAACGAATAATACTTATGTATTATTTTTTTTATGTCAACGAGAATCGCGTTACGTGTTAAAAACAACAAAAAAATATAGAGCTATATAAATATAGAGCTATAAAAAATAGAATAATAATTAATCGAATAACACCTCAAAATAATAATTTTTATTTATTTATTTATTGAATTTTTTTCTTCGTACAATAAAAAAAATAATAATTTACATAAAATATCAAACGATTGTAATATTGTTTATAGAGCTATAAAATTATAGAACTATAAATAAATATTGAATTGAACTTTCCGTTTGATTTAATAATAAACGATTCGAAAACGATTTTTCTATTTTATATATTTAAAAAAATTTTTTCTTCTTTATTATATAGCACAGATTTTTTTTTATAGCGTGATTTTGTTAAAATTGCTATATATAAAATTATAGCTAGCTATAAAATTTTTTTATTAATATAAATAAAATAAATAAATGAATCGAACGCGCGTGCGAATTTTCTTTTTTTTTTTGCTTGACAAACGCGAGTAAAATAAAATCGAAAAATGAAGAGAAAAATCATTTGAAAAATTTAAAATGAAGGAAAATTTTTTTTTTTATTAATTAATAAAATTACGTCATTACGATGATGATGATAATAATAATAATAATGATAATACGAACGCACGGGTTAAAGTGAACATTATATAATTTAACTATATTTTATTATTATTAATATTTTAAATAAATAAATAAAAATTTCATGAGTAAAAAAGAAAAAAAAAAAAATTTATGAGAGAATCGAAAATCATTCGTTCGTTCGTTTGTTTGCTTGTTTATTTGTATGTTTGTATGTTTGTTTGTTTGTTTGTTTGTTTCGTTTTTATTTTATTTTTTAATATTAATCGTCGTGTGTATGTTTTTGTCCATTTTTTTTTTTAACGAAATGCATTTAAAAAAATTTTATTCGTTTTCATTTTTTTTTTCTACTAAATATTAAAGGGTGGAGAGGGGGGGGGGAGGAAATGAACCACTCGAAAAAAAGGGATAAAACGGGAAAAAAGGAAAAAGGCAAAAAAAAACAGGAAAATCTTACATAAAGATTTTTTATTTTATTTTACACTTAAAAATTTAGTGGAGAAATTGGATGATTCGAATTGAGATTTTCAAGAGATGATGATGATGATGATGAAACGACGAGAAGGATTTTTGAGATTCTGAATCCTTTTAATGTAAAAATCTTTTATTATTATTATCATCATCATCATTATTTTGTTTTTTTGTAAAAACGGGAAAATACGTAATAAACAGAAAGAGAGAGAAAGAGAGTGAGATGAATTCGATATAAAAGCTTTTATATTTTTTTATACGTTCGAAATTAAAATGTTGCCAATTTAAAATTTTCAAAAAAAAAAAAAGAATATTGTTCCTCTTTAATTTCGATCGGCGGCCATTTTTATATTTAAATAATGATGATGATGATGATAATAATGGGGTTATTATATTTTCTCTTTGTTATTATTTTTTTTATTAAACTGTTCGTTTGTTGGCGTGTGAAAGAAAAAATAATAATAATAATGATTGATTAAGTTGGTACGTATTAAAATGGATCGATGGGTTATGGATTTCGATAGTTGGAAAAAAAAAAAAAAATTACTAAGCTAACGGGTACTGTCACAAGGATGTGGTTCCCGTCGGAGTGTGATACAAAGAACTTTGATAGTATGAATCGTTCGGAAGGGACGTGTGTGGATTTGGCAAAGGGCTAAGGGAATTATTGTACTGTGCGTATTGCGAGGCCATGTCATACATTTTAATATCCGCTTTCGATTCCGTCGGGAGTAACCTGTGGATAGAAAATGGATGATTAGATGCGGCATACCCTGTGGGCTCCTGTTTGAGATGATGGTGATTTTGTAACATGACTTGATGTTCGGAAAGTGACAAGTGAGGATGGCATCTGTTAACCATTGCGGCAATATCGTCGTGTTGAAGACCGTGTTGCTGATGTTGCTGATGATGAGATGATCCGTGATGTTGTTGATGGTGGTGTGCGTTTTGATTTCCGGATAAGCACAGTTCACTGCTTGCTTGAAGCATTCCTAAAGGGTCCGATTCGACTTTCGGATGCAATCCTAACATAGATGCCGTTATCCCGTGATCCACGTTGGATCCCGTTTTATCACCATATTTATCACTATATTTATCACTAAGGAGAGATGATTTGTGATTGTTGTGAGACATCACAACATCATCGTGATGATTCGGAGTTTTTTTACCGTCCACGCTACCATTGTGTGACGGAGATTTGTGAGATTGACGTATGGCTTCTTTTTTTTCATCTTTAAATCTTTTTTGCCTACGTAGGTAACAACCATTTTCAAACATGTTTCCGGAATCGGGATGAAGCGTCCAAAAACTACCTTTACCTGGTTTATCGGGAGTTCTTGGAACTTTAACAAAGCAGTCATTAAACGATAGAGAATGACGTATTGAATTTTGCCATCTCTGTTGATTTTGTCGGTAAAACGGAAACAAATCCATTATAAATTGATAGATTTCCGACAGCGTTAACATTTTCGTAGGCGAATTTTGTATGGCCATTGTTATTAGGGAAATGTACGAATATGGAGGTTTGGCGTGTGTGTACGACCGACGGTAGGTTTTATCCGCTCTCGCTCTTTGCAAAGCCGCCGAATTCGGTGAACTCGGATTTAAGTCTCTTGTATTGCTCATGGAACTCACGGGAGTCAATGCTCCGCCGTAACTATTTATACTACTCATTCCTCCCATGCAAGATGCCACGCCGTTCATGTTCGCCATGGGAGAACCAATGCTACCGTAACTCATAGGCGATGACATACAATTACCGTTCATCGAGCTCATGCCAGAGCTTAACATATTTGAACTGAATCCGCTACCGGATTGGGGAGAACACGAATTCATTGAGGATACGCAAGCCATCGAATTCATAGAATAAGACGATGCCATTGAATTTATCGTTGTTGCCATATTTGAAACCGATGTGCAACTACTAACTGCTGTCTCTCCGGAATATGATCTTTGAGAAAGCATCACTATTTCCGAACTATTTCACTTTGTTTCATTTTTTACAACACTTCACTCGCGGTAAATTCTTATTTTTTAATAACTATTCGTCAAATCATTCTTTTAAATAAAAAATTTTTATTAAAAAAAAATACGAATGTAAAAAAACAAAAACGGGGGAAGGGGGGAGAAAAAAAAAAATTTAACCGAAAACTTTGTCTACATTTCAATCGACACGACACAATTGATTTTCGTTTTCTCTCTTCTTCTCTTTTTTTTTTTAAATTTTAAATTATAAAAAAATTATTTATAATTATCATCTCACATTACGAATAATTTACTACTAATATTACCACCTTTTGAAAAATAAAAAAATAATAAAACATTTGAAAACTTTAAAATTTTTTTTTTTTTTTTCGAAAAAAAATTAAATTAAATAAAATAAAAACCCGATTCGATGATTGTTTATTGTTAAAATTAGATCAATAAAAATTGATTGATTAAAATTAAACAAATTTATTTAGGGTTCTTAACGTAAACACGCACGTCGTTGTATTCAAATGAAAAGTTTGCACAAGGAAATCTTGTCAACAGAAGATAGCTGAGTGTGTGTGGTAAGTACACAACGCGTTAGGCGTTCAACGGTTCGCAATTCGGCCGCAACAGGTTCACGGACGGGGGCGGTTCACGTCGGATGAGAGCAAACACTCGCACACTAGGACACTATTGACTTGAAACAGTTCACTGATTGAAAAAACAAACAACGCACATATATCGAGAAAGAGAGAGACATGAGGTTATCGGGAAAAGAATAAGAAGACGAAAAAGAAGAGAGAGAGAGAGGTCCCTATTTTGGGGGCGTATAGCTCCTGGCTTCGAAACGAAACTTGTTTGACTAGGTGGGGGGAAAATTTATTTGGCTTACTACGATGTAAAGGCAACGTAATTCTATTCCCCCACTCTTACCCGAAACCATTTTTATTGTTTCCTAATATCGATTTAGTTCTCAAATCGACCTCCTCGTATTACCGTCGTCATGGAAACACCAATTGGAAAACACTCGGCGACCAATAGGAATCGTTAAAAATTTTTTTAATGGATAAAGTGGGCGGAGCCGACACGCCTCGTTTATAAGCGCTCTCTTATTTCTGAGAATGAAAGAACTTTTACGTGAATGCACACATCACCTGTTACTTTTTTTTTCAACAAAAAAAAAAAAATTTTTTTATTTTTTTGCGATTGACACGAAAAAAAAATTTTTTATTTTATTTTGTATTAATAAATTTTTGTAAAAAAGTGATATCGAAACACAACACGAGTACATACATAATATTTCTCTTTAGAAAAAAAAAATTATTATTGTTATTACGGTGACGGTTTATACGGGGGTGACACAAAAATCAACGAAGGAAATTTTGTTCGCGAACATGACAAAATTTTGGGTGAACGTTTTTAGTGAAAAAACAAAAAGGGAAATCACCACCACCACCACCATCGAAAAAAATGTGATGATAAAATTAAAGGAAAAATTCTTATCGATAAAAAAAGTTAAAATTATTACGTGGTACCAGTTAAGGTATTACCCGGGATTTGTTTTATACCGTGAAAATACGATACCGGTTAAGTAATTTGGTGTTTTTTTACTCTATGAATTAAAATTTTTTTATTATTATTCATCGTAATCGTTGATCAAATCGTAAATTAATTTTTTTTTTCCACGACGACGAAAACTTAACTGTATTTAAAAACGAAAAATCGAAATAATAATGATAATAAATTATATGACGTCGTGTTTAAAAAAAAAAAAAAATTTTTTTTTTCCATCAAATAGGGTTCGTTTGATGATATTTCCATAAATAATTTTTTTTTGTTATCGGAAAAACCAGAGAAATTTTTTATAAATGACGTAAATGAAGTAAATCGTATGGTGTTGACGTGGCACGAGCGTAAAATCACAAAATTAAATTATTCGACACGATTCCTCGTCGTCGTCGGTGTATTTATAAAAAAACTGGTTTTTTAAATGGTGTCGAATTTTAATTTTTTTTTTCCTTCGATACGACAGCAACAACATGGCGACATCGACATACCGTCGCAAATCGGAAAATTTTTACATAAATTCATAAATAGAACTACCATCACCATCACCACCACCACCACCGATTTTTTAGAATTCTTTCCTAAGGAACTCGGTAAAAACCTGGAACGAATGCTGGGCAAAAACATAAAATTTTTCGCGAAACAACATAATAATAATAATAATAATAATTAACAAAAAAAAAATACAGGAAATGACGTCGCGTAAATTTTAAAAAAACCATCACTACCACCACCGAGGAAGGAATAAAAACTTGGAATAAATGCTGAAAAACATTGACTTTAAAATTTTAAATAATGATAATAATAATAATAATAATATCAACGACGATTATAATCATCATAATCATCATCGTCATCGTTATAATCACGAATGAGAAAGAAAGAAAAAAAAGAATTGTTCACCGGAAATTAACAAAAAAAAAGTACTTAATTATATTTCGGCTGCTTTGTTTATGGGAGAAAAAAAAAGAGGTTAAAAAGTAAATCTTTTCTCTCCTTGTGTTGGATTCGGATTTTGTCGAATGCCGCCAAACTACAATAATAATAATAATATTCAAGTGGAGATTCTTAAAGAAATAATGAAAAGACGTGGCGGCAGAAAAGAGAAGAATGCTTGATATTGAAAAAAAAAAAAAAAAACGACGAGAGAATTGCCCACTTTTTTTTTTCTTTCAAGAGGAAGAGGCGTCATCATTATTACCGGTCAACCGCCCACCTCCCTCTTTACCCTTAAATTATTATTATTATTATTACAAAAGAAAAACCGGAAATGGTTTTTTTTTCTTTTCTTTTCTAAAGGAAGAATTTGATGTTGTTTTCTTATTCATACTATTTGTCACTTCCGACTGTATAAAGATATACTTGTTAGTTTTTTTTTTTTGGTCACGTGATTAGTATCGGGTATCATAGGGTGATGGTGGTGGTGGTACACGCGATAAAACTCACGTACGTTTTTAATTAAATAATAAATATGGCGTCGTACGTATAGGATTCGTTTTGGATCGAAATCCAATTGATTATTATTTCGTTTGAAAATTTCAAGTGTGTAACAACAATTAAATTTCGTCTACGGATCAACAAACAAACAAACAAACGAAACAACAACCAAAAATCTTTAATTAAATTAATTAATTTCTATCGTAATTAAAAAAAAAAAAAAAAAATTTTCGTGTCTGACCCTAACGGGTTTTCACATAACCTTTTCCTTTTATTTTTTTATTTTTTTTCGATTCTCGCGAGAGATTTCGAGATTTAAATATGGCCGACGATGAAATCTCGCGCGCTTTGATACCTAAAAAAAAAAGAGAGAGAGAGATAGAGTTTATTTTATGAGTAATTCATGTCGTTTTTTATTCAACGTATTTTTAAGGTAATAAATTCACAATCAATCATTCGGCACGCCATTGATATATCATTTATGACACCACCACAAATAATAATAATAATAATTATTATTTATCTATTTAAAAAAAAATGATAATAATGATGATAATAATAATGAATGAAAATTCGATGAAATGACGACGACCATTTAAGGGTATTGAAAACATTTCCAGGTTGTTTCCCCCTACGTTATTATCAAAACCGGTCGATCGGGATAAATCGGGAAGCGGATAGGGAGTAGGTGGAGGGGATGGAAGGTTTGCTGTCGCGTAAAGTTTTTTATTAAATATAATCCAAGTGAAAAATAAAAAAAAAAAAATAAATCATCATTCACGACAGAGCCCAAAGCTACCAGAAACGTTTGTTACATGTAAACACCAATTGCTGAACAATTAATAAAGTTGGAAGATAATCTGAGTTTATCCAGAGTGGGGGGGAGGTTTCGTTTTGTTTCGTGAGGGTGTGTTTGTGTGTGTGTGTGTGTTCAGAATAGCCGAAGACTTTTGCCAAAGGCATCACCCTTTTTTTTTTTATAAAACTTATCCAGCTATTGTAAGGTTCCTACGAACCCTCTCTCTCTCTCTCTCAGTTAAGCTCTTTCCAATCTGTTGTTCTCAATCGTTATGAATAAATAAAAATCCTTTTCTATTATTATTATTATTTTTAACTGGTTTTCTTTTTTTTTCATTGCGAAAAAAGAGAGAGAGGAAAATTTTCCTCGTCAATATTTTCGTTCGAACGCGTTACCGTTCGTAAATTAAATTTTCTTTTATTTTATTCTCTCTCTCCTTCTCTTCCCTCTTCTCCCCACTCCCGAATAATTTTTTAGACGACAGGAAGTTTTTTTTTAAAGGGATTTTCTTATAAATAAAATTTACAATTTTTAGCAAAGGATTCACGTATACACAAAAACGTTTTTTTTTGTTTGTTTTTAATCTTAAGTAAGAAAGGTAACGTCTTTAAGTGGTCACAAAGCCCTGACTAACTTTATGCCACCACCTGGTGTCTCGTCTTAAATTTTTTTGTATCAAAAAAAAAAAGGTTTTCTTGGTGGTGGTGGTTGTTAAGATGGCGGTGGTGGTGGTGGTGGTAGTGAGGAACCAAAGAACAAAATCCTTTAAAAAAAAATTTTGTGGTTTTTCTTCTTTTCGTACCAAAATCATTTTTATTTTATTACCTTTTTTTTTTTTTTTTAAAAATTTCTTTTTCTTGTAACAACAACAACAAACAACAAACAAAATATTATTATTATTTTTTCAATAACAACATTTTCTCTCTCTCTTTCACAAAGAAAGAAAAAAAAATACTTGGATTATGAATCACAAACGATAAAATGTCTTATCGTGAAAAATTTCTTTTGGGCCTAAATAATAACAATTAGTCAGAGTGAAAATCATCATCATCATCATCATCATCATCATCATCATCATCATTATTATTATTAGCATTATCAGTTTTTTTTTTTTTTTTTTTTTTTTTTAAACGGGTAAACAATACGATTGTTTCTTAAATCATTGGGCGTTTACTTTACGAATCAACAACCCTCGAGTTTACAAATTTTCTTTCTTTTTTTTTTTGTTCTTCGGGTGACTATTTTAGGGGTTGAACGTTGCCCTCGTCGATCTTTTACGATTTCCAACCCCAAATAATAATAATAATAATAATAATAATAATTATGCGAAACGTAAGAACCTCCTTTTTTTTTTTTTTTGTTTTTTAAAACCGTAAAAAATTTTCTAAAAGTTTATCGCACATCGTTACCATCATCAGCACCCCCCTCGTCATCCCCCCATTGCTACCCCCCCATCGAAACACATCATAATTCTTTAAGCTTTTTTAATGCGTTAACAATTTCCCGGAGTAAAAGGTTTTGGTTAAAAAAAAAAAAAAAAAAAAACTCGAAACATAATCACATTACGTCATCATTAACATATCGTTTCCGGTTTTCCTTAATCGTTACCATTATTATTATTATTATTATTATTATTATTATTATTATTGGGTTTTATTTAATGTAAACAAAATGATTAATTTCTAATTGAAAATAATTAATTATTATTATTATTATGATTGATTAATTAATGATAATATAAAATTTTTGGAGGAAAATTTTTCTCATCCACGTGACAATAACGTTTTTTTTAGAAATAAATTTTTCCAGTGATAACATTTTTTGTTTTGGCTCCAGAATTTTTCTCACAAATAAATAATTAAAAATTTTAATTTGTAACGATGAGTCGGTGTTTTGATAATTATTATTATTATTTTTTTTTTCGGTTGTTAATCGGTCATTAATACTCTTGAAAAAGGAAAAGAATAAAAAAGTTTTTGTTGTTGTTATGGTTGTTGTTGTTGTGGTTGTTGTTAGAGATTCAAGTTTATTCGTTTGTGGTTGTTCTATTTTTTTTTTTTTTATGTTGTTTTGAAAGTAATGATGGGAAACATCGAAAATATTGTTTTTATTTGAATTCGTTCACCTTTATTATTATTATTCTTCTTCTTCTTCTTATTATTATTATTATTATTATTATTATTATTATTATTATTATTATTATTATTATTATTTTGTAAATTTAGTTGTTTAATTAAATACCATTTCCGGTTTTTTTTTAAAGGGATGAAAATTTTTATTTTACAAAATGAAAAAATTTTATGTTAAAAAAAAAAAAAATTTATAAACTTTCTAATAATAATTAGTTTTCGGTTGGGGGCAGGGGAGGAGGGGAAATCGATAACAATAATGATGATTAATGTCACGTGATATGAATCCAGCGAAGAACGAGATGACGACGACAACAACAACAACAACATTTGTATAAACAACATAAGGATTTATTTATTTAAAAAAAAAACAATCTATTTTTGTTTTTTCTTCTCTTTTTTTTTTTTACCTGACTTTTTCGTATTTGAATAAATAATAATAATAATAATAGTAATAATAATAATGATGATGATGATGATGATGATGATAAATATGCAAAAAAATGACGAATCAAAAAAATTATTGTGGTAAATAATTTTTTTTATTATTTTTTTAAATACAAAAATTAATAATTTATAAATTTTTTTCTTTTTTTTTTTAGAAAAGTGAGGGAGGAGGAGGAAGAGAAGTTAACGATTAAATTATTATTATTATTATTATTGCGTTTTAAATAAAATTTACCATAATAATAATAATTAATACGATATATGAGAAAACGGAAAAAGATTCCAAATTAAAAAGTGTATAATCCTTTTTTTTAAGGAAACCTTTCCGATCCTTTCCGAAAAAGAGGGAGGAAGTGGGGGGGTTTAAGGGAGTACACTTAACACAAATAAAATAATAATGATAATAATAAAGGTAAATAATGATGATGATTTTTATACACTTTTATCGACTTTTAAAAAAACTCGCACCTGAAAAAAAAGGAAAAAGGAAATTTTTTTTTCTTAGTCACATTTTTTTGTTTTTAGGTGTCACATAATCCTTGTGTGGTCTGGTTTGATTTCTACCCCCTTTCCCCACCCCAGCTTCCCCGTAAAAAGTGGTGAATTGTGGCTAATTAATTCCAAAAATTTAAATCTCCCATAATATTTCTAATTAATTTACCTTTCGAGGGAGAGAAGAAGATACTTTTTTTGTTATTTACAATTCAAAAGAATTTTTAAACAAATATATATTTGATTTATTGTTTTATTCGTAAAGTTTTCTTTTAAAAAAAAAAGAAAAGAAAAAAGAAATGACATTTTTCTCTTAAAGCGATGATGTTGTTTGTGCAATCGATCGTCAAAGTTTGAATTGTTTGTTTTATAGTCAACGTTTGTATCGAACGAAAAAAAAAGGGAAAGATAAAACGTAGGCTTTTAATTTTAGCCCTCTTTGAAAAAAAAAACAATAGTTATAATAATAATAATAATAATTTTATTTATTTATTTTTAAAATCGATTTATCGTTTGTATTTTAAATCAAATTTACTTCGAATGCATTTTATTTTAATAAATTTTAATTCGATTTAAATCGTATTTTTTTTTGTTTTTAAATATTTATTTACGTAACATTAATTTTAAAATATTATTTATAATTTTTTTTTTTACATTTTCAATCTGAGAAATATTAAAATTTATAAAAATATTTAAAACGAATGATTTTAATTTGTATCACGTAGTTAGGTTCGATAATTTTGCGTAGTGGCGACATTTTTCTCTTTTTATAATTTGGCGGTAAAACAGATTGTCGTGACTTTGACAAACTATCTGCCATCTATCGGTGTAAATGTTAAAACGTATTGCGCGTCCGTACTCAGATCATTCCAGTTGTCACAAGCGAAGCCATGGTAAGTAAAATCATAAATTTTTTTTTTTTATAAAATTCAATTTTTAATTATTAATATAATGTTTTATTATTTCATTTATTTAAAAGTTAAATGTTTGAAGTTAATTGTAATAATAATTTTGTGACTTGTCATGTATTATTGGTAATTTTATTCTTTTTTAAACATTTACAAAATTTGCCCAAGCTACCGGCACGTGGTCGACAAGCATTTTCAAAATTTGAAATTCTTCAAAAAGTTTTAATTATTTATTTGATCTTTTATATTTATATGAAATATTTAAAGTAAAACGTTTGTCCTGTTAAGATTAATTAATTTTTTTAAGGATTCGAGAATGGAAAATGTTGAAATAAATGAAAAAATTCTCAGGTATGAATCGTTCATCAATGATGTTCTTAAAGAAGATTTGAAATTAATTCACGGTCAATTGGAAAAGAAAAATACTGACATTGCAGAATGGGTTCAGCTAAAAACCGTATTAATAACCCTTAATGAAAATGACATGATGGATGGCTTCAAAACGAAAATGGACATTGGTACAAACGTGTTTGCTCAAGTAAATGTTGCAGATGCTTCTAAAATTTTAGTAAACGTAGGATGTAATCTATACGTCGAGTTTACCATAAAAGAAGCATTAAAATTTACTGAGCAAACAATAGAATATTTAAATAAGCAAATTAAGATATTAAGAACGACCAGTGCTGAAATCAAAGCGAGAATTAAATTGGTTCTTCATGGAATTCAAGAGCTTTCTAACATTAAGTAAATGCATGTGTCGAATATCATGTGAGATGAACCCAAGAAATAGACACAAGTAGGTAATTATCAATTTGTAAAATTGTTAATTTTTTTTATCGAATGTCTATTTTAATATGTAAAAAATAATAATTATTGATTTTTCCAACTCATTTAGAATCTGAATATGAAACTGCAGCTTCTAAAGTAAAATAATACTTAATAATGAGCGTCCACTGTAATATGAGAAGTAGGAAAAAGCATGTTATCAACTGTTTACAGTAAGTTAGAATTCTTTTTATTAATAATCGAACTTGATATCATAACTTGATAGTTTTATTACTCTTATTGTTTTTCAAAAGCTATTCAGATTTTTAAAAGAATTCATTTAAATTTTACACATTCTACTACTTCACTTAATAACTTAATTATTTACTCGTATGTTTTTGGTTTTTCAGGTGACAGTTATCACGTCTGAAAACAAATTGAAAATTTGAAAATTTTTCCAGAATTTAAGAAGTTTTTAATTAAGGTAAATAATTTATTTTATTATTTCTATTATTGTTATTATTATTTTCACTTTTAAAAACGACAAATTGCTAAATACTTGTCGAAGTTTTTGAACATTTATTCTAGGTTTCGATCTGATTCCTTAGGAATAAATGTTCGAATACTAATGTTGCTATCTATAAAATTTTCCTAGCATAAGTTGCAAGCTACCATTCTTCTTCCATTTTGTTTTCTTTGTTTTCCTCTACTATTTGCTTTGCTTTTTTGAGAACTACTCTTTTTGTGATCTTTTCCTCCGTTACTAATTCTGCTTGGGTGCTAAGATGGAGTGCTGTCAATGGTATTCCATGTAATTTCTCATCCTAACAATGGCATTTTCACACGCCGCTTCTATTTGGTGTATTTCTCTTCCCCCATTTTTCCTTCTGTCGTACAATCCATCAACATCTGCTTTTGGATTTAAGGCGCCATTCATTGTTAGTATCTTCTTGTTTGTCGATCTAGTTGTAATATTTCCTCTTTCATCCAATCTACCAGGCCAAAACTATATTCCACTACTACTGAAACTGCTAATGTGCCAATTGCATTCATTTTATTCTTGTCATTCAGTTTTGACTGTAATATAAGCCTCAATCTTTAAAAGTATTTTCCCTTTATTTTGTTGTTCGCCACACAAAAATTTCAAATTCAGTTGAAAGGAAAATTTAAGTTCATCAACTTTCCTCTGACAATGGTAACTCTGGCACATATTTCCAGACCAAATTTCATGTTAATGTCGGAGGAAAAAGTTTGAGCCGTCCTTAACATTTTATTTAATTCCTTTTTGTTTTTCGCATAAATTTTCAAATCATCCAAGTACAACATATGAGGTGACTTTCCTATCTCCTGGCACCAGCTCATATCTATGATGTTTGATATTAAGCTGCCTGCCTGGACAGAGGAATTAAGGACGTGCAGGGCAAAAGTGGCGACAGCGAATCTCCTTCTGAAAAATTCCCCTTTTACTCAATACTTATCTCGAAAGTGTTGTCTTGCACTTCTGGATGGGTGCACCAATTTTTTATACTCTTCTCTTTAATATATTTTTAATGGTTCAAGAATTCATTCGTGAGGCACACTATCAAAAGCTTCTTCATAGTCGATCCATGTCATGCATATAAATTCTTTCATTTTTGTTTTGCATTGACCATGATCAACTTATTTATTAATAAGACTTCCACACGACCCTTTTCCACGTTCATATTGTTCAAGGGGAAAAACTTTAATTTTTTCCAAATGCCCATAAATCTTTATTATTATTATTATTATTATTATTATTATTATTATTACTTTCTTTTGTTTTTACTTTTGAACTTGACAAGTTTCTTTGTGCTTGTCAAAGTTTTTGATAAACTCATTGTTATTCTTATCATTTATATTATGTTTTCCCTCATTGTTTAATTTCACATCAGCAAAAGAATTTTATGTTTTAAGATTTTCTTTTAATATTTACAGGTGCCCACATTTTGATTTGCATCGTCGGGAAAATAGTGAATGGTTGATGATGTCGGTGGTGGTATTTTTTATTATCCAGAATATCACATACACGAACACGTGGTTTCTTTAAAAACTGGGGAGAACAAAAAATTTGGACATCATAAAAAAACGGTAAATTATACTCAATTACTTTAAAAAATTATTTGATGGTTGAAAATATTATTATTATTATTATTATTATTATTATTATTTATATGATGTTTTATCATTTTCGGTTGTTTACAATACGAATATGATAAAAATTAATAATAATAATAATATTCGATTTGATTACGAAGGTTAAGTCAAGTCAGGTTAAATCAAGTCGGTCGTGTTAAAAATTCAAATCCGTCGTTCGTTATATTTATTAATTTAATGTAAAGAATTTTCTGGGGGGAAGGGGGAGGGAAAAGCGAGAGAGAGAAAGAGGGGGGAAAGAAAACGTTATTTAATTTTTTCAGTCATTACATTTTTTTTTAAATTTTTTATTTAAAAAGAGTCTCAAGTGTGCTGCTGCTTTCAAAGACGTTTTTTTTTTTTTCTTTTTATTCTTTCTTGACGTCAGGAAAATTTTGAATCGTTTTATTAAAATTAAAAATCAAACGTGAATGAACGAATGAATGAATTGTTGGGAATTGTGAATATGATAACTTTTTTTTTTTAGTTTTGTTGGTTGTCGTTGTTTCGTGGGGAGTAAAAAAGCAAAAAAAACAAAAAGAAAGGGTCAGAATAAAATGATGAAAAAAAAATGGGATAAACCCTCGGGCACTTCAACCGCCGCACTTTTTTTTTTTTTTTTTTTTTTTTTTTTTTTTTTTTTTTACATAAATCTGAAACGTTTATGTACATATATATGTATATACGTATTCATACATACATATATAAAATACGCATTTATTTATAAATGCATAAAAAATTTTTTTTTTTTTTTTTTTTTTTACGAGGAAGAGGGATTTACGTTTTATATATATATATATATATATATATATATTTTATATTTATAGTCGTCGGTTATCGTTTCGAATATTTTTTCTCATTGCCCAAAAGTTTTTATTTTATTTTATTTTATTTTAATATTTATTTGTGGGTGTGTAAAAAAAAAAAAAAAAAATTCAAGGAACGCCGGGGGGAGAAGCGGGGGGAAAGGTCCTTGCTAAGGTTTGGACAGGTTTCTTTCGAATTAAATGTGTCTCAATTTCGAATGAATGATTAGGGAAAATGAGGGAAAACGAAGGTTTAGGTGGGTAAAATACGCTCCTGAAAGGACTAAAGGTTCACGTTTTTTTTTTCTCTCTCTCTCTCACAAAAGTTTTTTAAAAAACAAAAGGAAAGGAAAAAAAAAAAAAATTAACGTCAAAATTTTTTAATTTTTTTTTTGTTGCGTTTTACGAATTTACGTGTGGAAGGTTTTTCGGTCAGGTTCTTTCATTTTTTTTTTTTTTTTTTATTTAATTTTACTTGCTGCTGCGCTTATTTATTTTTATTTTTTTTTTATTTTCTCTTTCATGCCTCTCGTTTATATGATTCATAAAGTAAATGGGAAAAGAAAAAAAAAATTTTTTTTTTCTTTTTTTTTTCCTTTTTTATTCCGCGGGCGCTTCTGAAATAATTAAGTTGAAAACATTAAATATCATGACAGCTCTCAAAAGAGGGGGATGAAAAAAAGAAAAAAAAAGAAAAAAAAACTGTATGATAAAAAAAATTCAACTTTTTTTTTTTTTTTTTTTTTTTTTTTTTTTTTTTTTTCGTAATTTCTGCTGAGGGAAATAGAAAAAAAAGAAGAAAAAAAAAGATTTAAGCTACTTATAACGTATTTTCCGTTGGCTGAAAAAAAAAGAAGAAAGAAGAAAACCCCCCCTTCCCCCCGACTCGTGAATTTTTTAAGGGAGGAGGATTTACTTTTTACTTTTTTTTTTTTTTTTATTTCTTTAAAACTTTGACAGGGTTTTTAATTTTCCTTTTTTTCTTTTTTTTTTTTTTGTTTAAAAAATTTCATTTAAAGTTTAATTTTTATTTTGTGTGCTCCGACCCTCCCTTTTCCTCCTCTCCCCTCCCATCCAAAAAAAAAAATGATTCGGACACGTTGACGACGTATAACGAAATAGTAAATGTAATTTTTGGAAAATTATTTCGGAACCTCGGGAAAGGAGTCGGGTTTTATTATTATTATTATTAAAAAGCGTTAAAAGGCATGTTTTTAGCAAGTTTTTTTTTTTTTTTTTTTTTTTTGTTAAAGGCTCCTAGGTTCGTCCATCGATCAGGTTTTCGCACGTTGGCTAATTGATTTAGAAAAAGTGAAGGAAGGGGGAAGGGTGTTTAGCATGTAGTCTAATGTCTTACGATTTCGTAATATATAACTATACCTTATCGCGTTATCCAAACCTGTATGCGGCGGTTACTTGAGGTATTGTTGTTGTTATATATATATTTCGAAACCAGATATTGTTCTTATCGTTTATCAGACGTCGAGCGAGATAAAATATCACAGGAAGACATTTTTACTGATATTGAATGGTTTCTATGTTTTCGTGTAGGTTGTTGTCGTTTGAAAAGTTCCCTTCCGTAGAAAACTCGGTTGTTTTTACTGAATTTCTGATCGTTCACTTTTTTTTCTGTTTTATTATTATTATTATTATTATTATTATTATTATTATTATCAAAATCTAAATTCCTTAGTATTTATTTAATACCATCCACGATGGTCGACAACTCAACAGAGTTGTAAATTCGGCGTTGTTTTTTATCCTAAATACAGACCCGAAAAAACCTCTAGCAGACGATCTTGCTTTGATCATCTTCGATTTTTCGGTTACTTTAAAAACATTTTTTCTTCTACAGCTACGCAGCTATACCTGGTACTGTTTTGTAGGACACTGTAAATTTCTTCGTGGAATGTCAATAGTTGTAGTAGTATCGGTTGCGATGTTCCCTCTCCGAGGTTAAATAATTAAAAAAAAGTTTCAAAATAACCGTTTGAGCGGAAAGCAATGACCCAAGATCGTTGTT